GGGTATGGCTGTAATGTTAATTTTCATAAAACCGAAAGAAAATATTATCATCTTTAAAAGATAACAATACTCACATTAGGACGTCATACTACGCCCTACTTTTGCGTATATGGATAATTTTATACAACGCATTTTATAGTTTTATAGTTAGCAATCTATGCACACTAATGTTGAAAAAGTATAGAAGGAAAGTAGGAGACTGTAGTAGTACACAATCGTATATTGTTAAGTTCAGCTATTTGCAAGTTACCGAAAAGCTATATTCACAAACATATGCTCTGGTTATATTAGTGGTAAGTAGCCGAGAACGAGCGGAAGCATGTAACAAACACAAACACGCAAAAGTACGAAAAATGCAACTATAGCTCCATCTATTACATCAAGTTGACTGCAAAGACACAGTGTTTGAATATCACTATTGTAATAAAATTCTATGCTCTCCTGCTCATATGACACGTGTCAAGTTAGCTGACATAACAGCGGCGTTACTGTACCAGGTGGAATTAATACTATGCTAGACTTGTTTCATAAGCCGCGTTCACACGTAGCAAGAAATCCGGTATTTAGCGTTCACATCAGGCAAAATGCGCGGTCCAAGAAATACGGTATCTATACAGATCCGGTATTTCATGTAAATACGCGGCTTTCCAGACCCCGAATAATTTGCCGTGCTTGAGAAATACCGGATCTCTTGGATCGCGCATTTCCTCGTGTGAACGCTAAATACCGTATTTCTGAAGCCGTGTATTTTATAGACTGGTCAGGGCTCGACAGTTCCAGTGTAATGCGAGTGGAACTGTCGAGCGCGGACCAGTCTACGTATTTTATCGGACATGTGTGTGGCATTGCATTGTTTATTATTCGCACTTTGTTCGCGATTGATTCGTTAAAGCAGCCTCGCATGCTACGAAATACCTATTTCTAAGCCGCGAATCAGCGTGTGAAACGCTCGGCCGCGTATTTGTCTCAGATTCGGTATTTCGCAAATACCGTATTTCATAAATACGAGGTCTCGTGTGAACGAGGCTTATAGGATAGTGTTCAAATTCCTTAGAGTCACAACGAGACGTTGACGAATACGAGGCTTCGATAACGGGCAATGCCTGGATGGCAGTTATACTAGCTAGCGTTGTGAGCAAAAGAAACTATATGGTAGAAAAAAAGCGTATCGCTCTCGTGGCGTGATGCAAATTCAAAAAGTCCAGCCTAGATTTTAAATTTTTAGTTTGTTGTCGGTTTCCTGTGGCGAGAATTGATACGCGCCAGTACGTGGGCGTTTTATGCACGTAGGCAGCGAACCTCCCGAGCGATCGACGAAGTTGATCTAATTCTTGTGAAAAGGGGGGACGTTGGTTCATATGTAATATTTCATATCACAAAGGAATCGGCAGTAATACGTCTAGCCGTAGCATTCGTGGTGTTTTTATCTGCGAGTCGCAACAACTGATATTTATCGATCGTAAGGCTACGCCAGTAATACGTAAACGCAAGTCTCGTTATCGGACGTGGGCACACGGTGCCCTGTCCAGTGAGCACGATTCTGTGCTGCGGGTCCATCATCCCTTCAACAAGACGACCGGAGCTCTTCAATCGGCACCCTTGCATTGCGTCCAAGATTCATCTGGTGTTCAGTCGCACAGTGGAAACAAACCAAGTCACCATTGCTTACACCAGTACCTGAGCCGTATTGCGGTGGACAGGACTTCATGACCTTTCGGTAAAGTACTGCCCGCAAGTTTTATCGCCCAATTCACCCGCTATAAATTGTCAGACATATACTTATATAATATACTATATTCTAACAGATAATATATAAGCTATTCCACGGAGTCAACGATAATTAGAAGAAAGATTGTAACGATCAACATAAACAGTTGCGCTGTTACTTTCCGCTGGTAACACTTAGACAATCTGTGTACAAGACTTTCTATCGTCGCGTTCTAACTTAAAATAGGATCTATAGAGAACCCGTCCAATTTCAGCACAGCGAGCTCTCCGACCGATGCTCAAATCATCATCAGTGACAACGCGACGTGCTTCCGTGGCGCGGATTAAAACGACTATCCAAGAGTTCTACCCAATTAAGCAGACAAATCGATCCATACTCCACCACGCGCGCAGTGAAATCTGAAGACTAAAAGTATGAGGTTAGCTGGAAGTTTGGACCTCCAGCTGGACCGCACCATCAAGGACTAGTTGAGAGAATGGTGCAGGAAGTCAAAAGAAGGCTCCCATAGACAGCTATGGTGCAGAAATCGGATAAATATCCATTTAATCGCAGGTGGGAGATCGACCCTTCTCGCGATTGATCGCTGACTTCAATGAAACTAGGTCGTCCTATCTCCGCATCCTCCGCTTCTCCATTGGACGAACCGCCAATAACGCCGAATCATTTCTTGATTGGGAGAGGCAATCGTCGAGTGCAGCACACATACACTGCGCCGGCAGTACATGGGGAATACGCGATAAGCGCATGAGAATATCTGCTGCAATAGCATTCGTCATGAATTCTGCGTCGCATTGGAAATGTGTCAACGCTGTTCATAAACTTATTCATCACGTCACGAAGTGTGCTGTCGACGCTCTACGGCACCAAAACACCCCTCCGTGCCTCCCACACAGATAAACTTCTCCTCGGTCTAGTTAATGAGAAATGTCGAAAGCGCCAGAACCCCTAAAAAGGCGTACTAAATGCCAAGAAACTACCGAAGGATGCATCATATATCGTTATGCCCGGCAGCAATTGTATGACTACTGTATCGGTGGCCCAGTGCCTGGACGTAACAGATTCGGCGATCGCTTCAAATCCTGTAAACCTCCCATGTATACGTGAAGTCTCGTCATGGTGCATTGAAAAAGAATGACGAGAGACCCGACTATAATCCCCTCACTATAACTCTGTTGGAAACTCTAGTATTCGGCATCATAAAAAACAGGTCGAGTATGGCGCTAATTCCTTAGGACATTCCGTTAATAGTATTCCAGTGAGTAACAATAGCCCCGCGTGTTGTGCCGCATTAGTCACTCTTCGCAAATTATGTTGTGCCTATAAAAACATTCTAGACAATCGTTTCGACGTTACCCGTGTGGCGCGATTATATATTCGCCCCAGAATTGCGAGTGTGTTTAATTCGTTTATCGCCAGTCGCGTCGCAAAACCTGGCTTTTCGCGTTTATGTTGCATTCGCATTTGTGAATCATGTATCACATGTATACTATAATCTCAAGTAATTCTTTCGAGTATGAGTATTCCGTCTGAACATTTGTTTGTTGCAGTGTTGAGTAAAGTGACATTTGGACTATATACAGACTTTTTGTCCCGACATTCCTGTCGGATGATGTCCCCTGGTGTCATGATAATCGCCAGTGTAAAAATTATTTGAAAATTGCAGATACCCAGATACCCCCGGATATTACCGCAATAAGAATAGACGGGCTTTATTACGTAAGCTGAGCCGCACTATAGCACTCTTGTTTTATAGTATGTTTTCGCTTGTGTTTCAACACGATTGAAAAATTATTATTATTAATGATATATCGATTCTAAAGATATGTCTTATTCTTCAATGTGTAGTGGTTTAGTACAACACTACATGGACAGGCAATTCGCGTGAAAAACAAGTAATTTGTCATGATATTTCTTTCCGGTCTATGCTCGTTCCTACCTTGTGTCCGAAGCCAGAACATAATTGCCGTTTAAGAAATCGCGTAGAAAGGCAATTTGAAAGCAGCACTTGCTCGCCCTACAAAACCATTAAAAATATATTTTTAATTATTCTCGCACCAGGAAACGTCAAGTTCACCCTGGAATTTATGCTCGTGGGGTGTGGGACTGCTCAGAGCTTCAGTGAGAAGTATCAATCACTCCTCGTTAGCGATAAATGCTGGGTTTGACCTTTCGTCAAACATATAGTCTTTCTTTCCAACCATCTTCTAACTTTCAGCTTTTATTTCCACAAACGTTAAATATCGAGACTTTCTTCTTTAACTGTGTTCTATAGCGTTTTTTGAGTTTTTTACTTTGATGGGGATGGTAGCTGTGAGGACAGAGGGAGGCAGTAGCGTGGAAGCAGGGGGGATGGGGGCATTGTAGTGGCCACGGGGAGGCTGATTGAGTGTAGTTAGATATTCATTGCGCTCTACGACGTGGCGACACACTGGGCTATCGAGCGAATGTATCGTGTACGATCTGGAGCTCAAGTTGTGTTGCGTTCGCGTAGTAAAATCGTAGGTATAGTAGGTAGTAATGACGAATTTCCCTTGTTTAATTGATGGTCCACGGCTGCTTCCCTATGTATCTACTCCTGATATATATATATTATATTTTATTTTTTTATTTTTTTTTAAATCTTGATAGTTGCCTAATTTCTATAACTATAATTGTCATAACTATTGCATGGATAAGAGTGTCTGCTTATAATGAGCTTCTCATGCATTCCTGTCTTTTGTCAGCAAGAACCTTCCTCTTAATGGTCAGAGTTTTTCTGTTTTCAGTACGACCAGATCGACAACGAGCACAAGGGACTTTTCCAGGGTCTTTTCGATGTTGGCGTGTACCCTGGCAGCGTTGAGACTCTGAGGAAGTGCAGGGAGCTGATGGCTGCTCACTTCGCCTACGAACAGGTTAGGCGAGTTTCGAAATTAGTTATGTGTAAACTCACAACGTCCGCGGAACGATTCCGTACATTTCTTCGTGAGTGTTTTTTCTATGCACGCGACGCTGAAGTTAGACCGTAGACCAACCATTGTGATGCCAAGATGAAGCAGATGAATGAAGATCAGGTTTGTTTGCTATTTCGTTATTTGCTAACTAATGATTTGTCGTGTTGCAGTCGATGATGCTGAAGGCTAGCTACCCAGAGTACCCCCACCACAAGGCTGCTCACGATGGCTACCTGGCTACTCTCGCCAAGATGGAATGCCCGGTCAACGCATCCGACGTCGACTACGCCAAGGACTGGTGCGTTTCATTGGAGATTTTCTCGCTCTCTTTATATTACTACTATACCCGGAATAATACGAAACAGAACACTGCTCGCAAGAGAAGCTAGTTCGGTAACTTGTCCTGTGAATCATACTCGCCACTACGCAGAAGTCAACCCCCCCCCGCTAACCGCAATTCTTAACGTCTCTGTGTTTTGTTTCGTGTGCTAATGTTGATTTAGAACGTATTTCAATTGATAACTGACAATAACATTAATTAAATTGAATAACTAAAATTAAAAATTAACAAAATATAATTACAATAAATTGAGTTGATAACTCGCAATTGGTTGTCGTTGCAGGTTGGTGCAGCACATCAAGACCGTTGATTTCCCATACAGAGGCAAGCTGTAAGATGTGCCCGATTCCACATCATTACTCATCTACCAATCGCGACTATGTACGTCCTATCCACGCGCCTTAAGGAATTATAGGCTTCAGTCCCTAACTCCTTTACAGACTGTTACACATATGGCCTAAATTCTAATTTAGAGCCGCAATCCTTCGGAATCCTTTCTGAGACTTCTGGCAATTCATGGGGTTTTCTAAATTGTTGGGAAAAATATTTAACACGCCGGTATCAATCTGACGGTACACGCAGACCTGTTCTCTTTCTAATTTTCTTGTTAAAAACACACCCAAAATTATACGTTTGATTTTCTAATTGATATATTTTGGAAATAATAAACAAATCAAGTATTGTACACACGGTTGCATTTGCTTTATTTATCGAATAATAAAATAATTATTTATTTATTTAATGTGGACGCGACGATTGTGACAACAAACAGCAAGATATTAAGTTAGTGCTATGAGACAGTAAGACAAAAGGCGATATGAGACAATAAAACATAACATAGGATATGAGACTATAAGACAAAGGGTATTATGATACAATAAAACATAACATAGGATATGAGACTATAAGACAAAGGGTATTATGAGACAATAAAACATAACATAGGATATGAGACTAAGGGGCATAAGACATATATGACATATATGAGGGCGTAGTGCTGTGCACAGTGCAAAATCAGATAGTGTGCGGCTAGCATAAGACATTACAAGGAACATGAGAATATAATGCATGACGAGGGACAATATAGACAATAGAACGTAATAACATAGTGTAGGGGGGAAGCTTTTGGGTAGAATTTTGAAACATTGCACGCGTGTACTAAATGAGGTCCTGAAGATTTTATGATATAGAGATCCGAAGTGATGACGTCACGGTGGCATGACAACGAACCCACTGGTTCTAAACAATCATTATTATATGCTCTGGCAACATTAACTGCGTGAAAATGGTGTCGTGTTTTGTACCCGATTGTAACCATCATTCTGAGAGTCATATTTGTAGTTTTTATAGATTTCTAAAGGATGGAAGTGAAAAGCAACAACAACAACAACAACAAAATAAAAAATAAATAAAAAATTAAATATTGTAAGATCGACTTGCTACCGCTGCTTTACCGCTGTCTGCAGCGAACACACTCGTGTTTTACGTACGCACAACATTTTCACACAGTTAATGGAGCCGGGATGGAGCCAGTGGGTTGTTTAGAACCAGTGGGTTCGTTGTCGTGTTAATTTACTTCCACCAGTATATTAAAATTAATGACTGATGTGTCATTATTCTTTATTTAGCAGGAAAAGAGGTTTTGTCAAAAGATTGCAATTATGATGCCTTAATAATGTTCATATGCTTTATTACCAAACGTAGCACAAAATTGAGGCAATCTTGTATTTATGTGTTTTGTTCATGCAATCTTTACTTTGCATTATCTGAATCATATTTTATTAAATATACGATATTTAATTATATTATCATATTTATTATACATTACTATTATTTTTCTTACATTTTTCTGATTATTATTAATATTATTATTATTATTATTATTATTATTATTATTATTATTATTATGTCAGGACAGTATTCTGAGGAAACTCCCTAAAGGGGGGGGGGGGGTTCTCAGAGAATTATTTGATTAAGATAGGCCATTACTATATTAGGCCATCTTGGAATTTCCATTGTTACGGGCGTTACGGAAGAAATTCAGCTTGCCACTATATATGAAATCATTTAGTATACCTTATATACATCATATATGCCTTTTTGCTTTTACCACAAAACGCACAATTCTTTCCCATATCTGCCGAACTAAATACAGATGTCTTCATCACGCGCGATCAATCTCCGCGCCAAGTAACAGAATGACAGTACTACACGTTCAGTAGATCACTTTATATTAGTATATACACCATACATTACTCATCAGGCGAACAAAGAGCAGTGCACTGTGGCGTTGCCTTTCAACAGTTGCATCTACTATGGCACTCTTTTTTTTTACATCCACAGTGAACCAGTTTCTGGCAGCATTTTGCTGCTTTGATGAATGTTGTCCAAATTAGCGGTAGATCATTCCCTCAAGTATCCAGTCTCAGTGGCGCAGAAAAGTAGTCTAAGAAAGACAAGGCATAGATAAATTGCATTGCCCCCAAATTAGCATCGCCGCAAGATGTGGCTAATCTGGTAAACACTGAAAAGCGAACTTAAGATTCTGTCACAATATCGCCTGTGATGCTGGGATTCCTTCTATTGGTCGACCTTTTTAGGTGAAAAAACGTTTTCGAGCATCATTCATCTAAAACGATATGAGAACAAATTTGACTTATGTGTGTAAAATGTTGGCATGTATTGTATATTTGTAAGATTGACGCGTTTAACTAAATCTTTGATCTTTATTGAGGCGATACGTTACAAAAAGAATATATGTATATTATAAGAAAAACTCAATTTTCCATAGATCCTATATGATCCATAATCCATAAACGCTCAACTATTAAAACCCATTAATTATCTACTGTATGTGAACATACTTTTAAACGTACTTCTATATGTTTATAACTTATTATATGCAATTATTATAACTTTTTTACAAACTATTAAAACATTTTGAAAACGTTATTATGCGCGTCTAATAAAGTTGTGATTACCTTGTACAATTCACTGGAGCGCTCGTACAACAACAAATCTCTCCAACACAACTGTGTGAAGATATTTGGCTCAGCTTTGCCAGATTGTAAGATTTTAGATTTTTATAGCAATTTCGGCTTAATTCAGCGCGTCTATTTATCCGCGTCGATTTTATTGAGATGCCTTCGTGGCCTAGTGGCTAGGTAACGTATACTGTCCATTGAAGGCTGTGAGTTCAATCCCCGGCCGGGGCGCGAATTTGCGATTCCCAAACCGTATAGCTTTGGAAGAAAAATTCAGCAACGTGATTGGCTAGAAAATTTTAGGACACGCATTATTAGTCAACAAGCTAATATATTAAATTATAAGCTAATATTATAAAGAAATATATTTAATTCAGAACATAAACAAAAGTTACAGAACAAATAAATGCAGAAACAAATAAAATACAAAGAAATACATAACGCAGAAGAAAATAAAAACACCATATGACGTTCGAACGCGGTACCTTAGGATCACGAAGCGAAAGGTCTAGCGTTGACCAACTGATACAGATACTAAATACGTAGATATAGAAATCAGTTAACCCTAACCCTAACCCTAACCTTAACCATAACCCTAACCCTAACCCGAATCCTAACCCTAACCCTAACCCTAACCCTAACCCTAATTCTAAAATAAAACAAAATTAGCCAAAAATAATAAGAAATAAAATAAATAAGCCCCTGTGCAAAATGCGCGATGGTGTGCGTGCGATAGTGGGCGTGTCCTAAACATTTTCTAGCCAATCACGTTGCTCAATTTTTCTTCCATAGCTATACGGTTTGGGAATCGCAAATTCGCGGCCGGCGAAGTGAATTTTCTCAAGGTGTAAAAACCTGGCTTTCAACATTGGAGACTGTGAATCTCCCGTGGCTCAGATGACCACGTAAAATGGCGGTCCCGTCTCCGGTAATACGAAAGGTCAATGGGGACATAAAAGAACTACTGAGGGCGCAAGAACAAACTCTGGCTATGACCACCCTCAGTGCCATTCAGTGCCTTTCACTATAGCTATATAGCGCTGTTGGCGGACAGAGAGGATTGGCGACCCCTGTCTGGTATGAACTACAGAAAGGAATAATAACAACTTCCCGAGGAGACTCGAAATAATTATTATTTATCCGCTGCCATTCAACCAGGTTCGTGTTGTTATCCAGCCGCCACCTCCATGTGTAAACCTGCAAACATCATAACCAATTTATTCTCGCTAAATGTGTCTTACTGTGCCCCAATGGAAGTTCAGGGCTATAGTATAGATGGGCTGCTCGCAGCCAAAAACTGTTATCTGGCCAAGGTTAAAATACTCTACTAAATTCATAATAATTGTCACTGGATAACGAATGTTTGCAGTTGAGTGAGCTATATCTTCGAAAGGTGGCAGTAAGGAAGTAGAACTTATCAAATTAATTTTAAGCTTCTGCCATTCATACTGCATATGATTAACGAACTGCGAATCGATTATTTTTTTGCCTTAATTTTGAATAAATTATGTTTTTTACTGGCTTTTAATTTTCATAAACGTTAAATCGCTTTCGACTCCTAAAGCGATCGTGTTTACAGTTTTGAGAATATTATTTATATATTTTAAGTTCTGATGCAATACTTGCTAAAAGAGTTCTTCTAGTTGCTTATCAATTTCATCTTTTGATTAGCAAAGCGCTAATAAATTTTTGGAAAAATGCATGGCGTACACTGAGTAGAAGCCTTGGATGGGCGGCTTGCACGGTATACAGTTCAAGCGATCTCTACAATCTCTACTCGCATTTCGGACTGCATAAATATATATATATATATATATATATATNACATAATAATATATATATATATATATATATATATATATATATAATCTAGCCATGCATATTCTTCTTGTTTGTACATGCCTGGTGTGTGTTCATCAACTTTAGTGAGAAATGCTGCAACTGGTGCTAGTAATTTGCGTGACAGTGTGACAATTGGTGGCACATGAGTGTGTAAAAATCTGGCAGAAAACTAGCACACTGTAAATTAAAAGCCTGTTTGTATTATCACGTTGCTCATAATTCCGTCCTCTGTCCATTAGAGCATGCGTACTGAAATAGGGAAATGCCAGTAGCGTAAAATGACCCAGTGGCTGTAAATAACAAGTAAAATGAGACAATATGAACTGAGACTATGTCTTTTGTCATATGAATGTTGTTTATTAAAACATAAAAATATTTAATGTATATTTAAGAATACATATGATTAACCAATGTCTGATTATTAAGAACGCAGAATGATAAGATAAGGAAGTGAAGATATCGTATTCGAAGCGTTTCAACCGGGAATTTTTTTTAAATAAAAATGTATGTCNCAACTTATCTAATTAATTTTAAGCTTTTGCGAACATATTGCATATGATTAACGAACTGCGAATCGATCATTTTTTTGCCTTAATTTTGAATAATTTGTGTTTTTCACTGGCTTTTAATTTTCATAAACGTCAAATCGCTTTCGACTCATAAAGCGATCGTGTTTACATTTTTGAGAATAATATTTATATATTTTTAGTTCTGATGCAAAAATCTGGCAGAAAACTAGCACACTGTAAATTAAATGAGTGTTTGTATTATCACGTTGCTCATAATTCCGTCCTCAGAGCATGTGTACTGAAATAGTGAAATGCCAGTAGCGTAAAATGAACCAGTGGCTGTAAATAACAA